GGTCCTCAGGAGGATGCAGCCCATGAATTTGGACACGACCTATATCTCTTGACTAGTGTTATGTCCCTCTGCAGCCCCTAATCTCCTCAGTGTGTTCAGCTGGTGCTAATTGACCTCACCTAGTCAGGTGTGGATAAAAGCATACCTGAAGCAGGCTTTCAAGAAGGCTCGCTGGTCTTTGCCTTGGTGGTACCAGCCATTTGAGCCAACCTGCTATGCATTTTAAGATCAAACCTCTTCTCACAGATACGCTGGCATTTTTCTCCTTATTTATGTTGCAGCTTTTGAGCCGGGTTGTAACAACTAGCTTGGAAATGCTTAAGTGTTCCCCCAGAAGAGACTGATGAGGTGGCCTGCGTTTCTGCTTAGACTGCTGCTCCTGCAAACTAGACCCAGATAAACAGCAGCAGATGGATGGATGAAAGTGTCCTTTAAAAAATCTTTTGGGATAAAATGAGTCTGCTTCCCTGTATATGTGCTATACACAGCAGTAATATGTGGTGCTGATATTTCAGTAATGAGAAGTTGTTAAATTTATTTTTGCAGCCTTTAAGCCAAGCACCTACATATTCAGCTGCTAACGATGGATTTGTATCTGTTTCCACAACACCCACCACGTTAAAAATAGTTCCCGCTATTCCAAACCAACACTTCTTTTAGAGCTGCTGTTATCTTTCCCTCAACCTGTGAGATAAGTGCCCATCATCAGTCACCACATACTGCATAGCGTACCACCCAAACGAGACACACGGATAGTTTAGGCGTCTGGAACTTCTCTCTATTGTATCTACGCCCACCTTCTGAAACTCTGCCCTCCACTGCCTAAAAGAGGCTCAAATTAATCAAAAATAATATTCAGATTCTTAAATTCTAACACTGATACTGCTGAAACATGCTGCTGTTTGCCGCAGGACTGTAGAAGCGTCTGGAGCTTTGGTAATGAAAAGCTTCCCTGGTCCACAAGCTCTCAGGAGCGTCCTCTCCCAACCTTTCCTCCCACATGGATTTCCTCCACTCTGACTGAGTCATCCTGCCATTGAGCTTACAGTGTTCCACCTACGATGGCAGATCTCTATATCTCTTTAATGCAAGTAACAAACATACACTCATTCAACTGAGAATTTTGCAAAGAAAACTGTTAAAAATGGTGGAAAGATATATAGGTTCTTGTTAATCAAGGTAGCAGATGCCATAACTGTGCATAGTGCATATGTGCAAAGGCCCATTTTGAGCCAGGAAAAGCCTGAACATGATGTGTTGGGAAATGACCACCAGGAAACACAAAAAGACCAAAAGAGATTCACAACCTTTCAAGTGCATGCTGTGGGTAAGATTAATCTGCACAGATCCTATCAGCTTTTTCATCACCTAGACTTTAAACATGGGAATCTATGCAGACTCACTTGGTTTTGGCCTTCTTGAAGAAATCAGAACTGGATTGGCTGGACGATGCTGCGAGCCTGTGCTCTGAGGGAAGTGGTGCAAAGTACCGAAAATACAGTGGGGTTAGTTTAACTGGTCATTTTGAATTGTGCATAGGTGTGAATGTTCTGTCTCTCTGTAGACCTGCGACAGACTGGTAACCTGTCCAGGGTGTACCCCACCTCTCACCCTATGGCAGCTGGGATGGGCTTGAGCCTATCTGCAAAGGAGGAGTGGGACAAAAGGAGGGATGGATGGATAGAAAAGTATGTTTGCTAAATTCGCTATATTCTGGTTCAGACAGCAGAGTGTCACTGGAGTTTAGATTTTTTAAAATTTGCATTCTCTCTTTTGTGTCTTAATCTCACTACTACACCTCGCAGGTCACTGTCTCAAGTGTTTTCATCATTTCAGCATTTGTTGAACCCACTTCTAATGTAATCCAAATTGTAATCAAAGAAAAGTTAACTGAACACTTGTCTCTTACACCTGGGGCATCCCTGGTGTAGCACTGTCTGGCTCCTTGCTGTCAGCACCTCCCTCATGGACACCTGTACAGTCGTTAACAGGCACAAAAAAACACCATTCTTGCAACAAGTCCACGTCTTTAGCAGTCTTTTCTCTCCTTGTATCAAACATGAAGTAATAATGATTTCACAGCCTGACAGGTGGCACCTCGCTGTTGAATATCTTAGACAGGAGAGTAGACTGAAAAGCTCATAGCATTTTCTTCTTTCACAGGTTGTCAGCTTGGTGAGAAAAAGAAAGGTGGTTATGTAAACATAACTCTGTTAGTAACCATGGCACCTGGGAAATAACACTGTGTACAGAAAATATGCTCTGCGTGTGTGATATGTGATATTTTTCATTCTGAGCCAAAGCAGAACCTAAATATAAAAACATAGATGCTGCATACACATAACTGATCATAGTTCATGTTTCCGTTAAATAGACTCAAATGAAAGGAAAACACATGTTGTATATGAAGGCGTCAATTACTTTGCAGCTACTATGAGGATATTAAATACTATGAGGAGTACTTCACTGCATTTCTACTGACATTTCTGCTAAAACAATATGTTTTGCCAGTGTAGTGGGTCAGACAAAACCTTTAAGTTAAAACTTTAACTTTATTGTGTTGTTTTACTGCCAAACTTGTTGTTTGGAAGTAAATTAATTCCAAAGAACAAGAAATACTTGAAATAATTACTTGAAAAGTAAGTACTTGAAAAGATTATCCATGTAATTATTAAATAAACAGCTAAGTTTAGCATTTCATGCAAGGCACACAGCTCTGGCTGTGAGCACAGAAACCCAACCCACCTGTTGTTTAAATCTTCTGTTTCTGAGGAAAGTTGGCTTAAGTCAGCAATTAATTCCTCAGGCAAAACTCACCCACAGTTTGCATGGGAGACGCTAACTTGTTGGCACACTCTCCAAGCTGTAGTGAAATTTGTAAAAGTGTGACAAAAACAGAAATCGAGCATGTTCGCCTTCAAAGTAAAGCTTGCGCCTTACCATTACAACCAAAACATTTCAAAAGGTACAAGCTTTATTTTGAAGGTTCCCTATTTCTGGTTGATGCCACACTTTTCACAGTTTCAGTACCAATTGGGCGTTAATTAGCGAGTATCTGCAGACAATTCATTGTCTTGCATGCATTCTGCTGGTGGTTGCGGTAATCTGCTGGTGACCAAAGGAATCACAAAGAAGTTTTCTGTGCACCACTTGTTTGGAACCAATTTCATCCAAGCAACTGCCAGCATCCTCCAGCAACCACTGGTCATCTGGCCAGAATATACCATATATTTTCTCAAGACTATGCTTGCCAGATCATTCCCAAATGATCTCTAGGCATTTGTTGCTAAGTCCTAGCTTTACATGCATCTTATATGCATGTCTTTGCACTTTGTAAGGAAGTGTCAGTTAACTGCAGGTTTCCCCAATCTTATAAAAAGTACATTTGCATAATGATTGAAACTAACACTGCTGAAGGAACAATGTACTGGGAGGTCAGTTCCTTGATCATTAATATGCAAATTCTCTGAAAACGCTACATCCAGATGAACGGAATCAACTTTTGAGCATTTACTTACCTGGATGATTGAGCGTGCATCAAGACGTTTGTAAGGAAGCTGGAGCATCCAAAGGAAACTCGCAGAATGGCCACAGTGCTAACCCCTGCACCACTGTGCTGATCCAGTTTAAGTTTATATAATATGGATTCTTTTCAATGGTACATAATGAAGAGAATAAAAAGTTCAGACCTGTAAAGTAGACCACCTGCAGTTCTTTCAAACTTCCCAGGAGTGAGTGTTTAAAAGACAGGTCATGAAAGAACACTTTGATATTTTCACCACCCCGCTGAGAATTCCTTAAAAAGATCGATACCACTCTAGAAAAAAAGAAAGACAGGGTATGTTAGCATAAAAAGCATAATGGAGTAGCCTGGCCCTATTACCACATTAGTGAACATTTACATTGTACAAAATGCCAGTATGTGATTTTGTCCCCACAGCATTTTTAGTCATTTTTAGTGTTTGTGTTAGTGTGTGAGTTATACACAGAAGACTCAGTGTTTTAAATAGTGAGTTTAAAGGTGCTAGCAGGAAAAAGCCAAGCTAGCTGTTCCTAGCTAGCTCCGTTTATTATGCTAAGATAAGCTAACACATCAGTGAACATTTACATTGTACAGAATGCCAGTATGTGATTTTGTCCCCACAGCATTTCTTAGCTGATGACAAACAGTCATTTTTAGTGTTTGTGTTAGTGTGTGAGTTATACACAGAAGACTCAGTGTTTGAAATAGTGAGTTTAAAGGTGCTAGCAGGTGTACTGTTGATCTATGGAAAAAGCCAAGCTAGCTGTTCCTAGCTAGCTCCGTTTATTATGCTAAGATAAGCTAAGATAATTACCTTAAAGATCCATCTCTTTGTGTTTAGATGGGAGAGCAATCTTTTCATCTAACTTACTGCAAGAAATGTAATCACGTTGTTTTTTACAAAAGGAACTTAAATATTGCTAGCCTAACAATGTTTGACACCAAACTAAACACACAGATAGACGCACCGATACTTAATGACAACATGCTGTGTAATGTCTGGACAGCAGTGACAGATGTAGCTTAGAAATTTCCTTTTAGGGTCAGCCTAAACTTTATATGAGCATATGCAGACGATAACATACATCATGTATTCCTGTATTTATAGCAACACAGTTGGCCCCTAAATTGGTCCAAAATGTGAGCATGCAAGAAAGGACTTTGTCTGGGTCGGGACAGAGCGTAACCAAGCCGAGCCGAGACCAACCAGGGTATCCGATAAGGTGGCGAGGAGTCAGCATATTGTCAGCCACACAGACAGGCAGGCTGGCAACCAGAGGAGGCTGCGCTTCAAAATCTCTGAGTCATCGCCTGGCCTCCTTTGATTGCCACCCCATACACACACACACACACACACACAGACACACACACTTCCAAACAGTACCACCACCTCCCCTCCTCCCGATCCCTCTCTGTTGTGTCAGCCATCAGTCTCACTGACAGCGCGTGCAGATAGAGCTGTTAGGAGTCAGGCAGCAGCCGTGCACATCAGCTAACTGGGAGAAGATTTCAGCGCGCATGAGTAGAGGAGGGGAACAGAGACAACTCTGACAGTTCAGGCAGTTCATTAGCAAGTGCAGAGTGGGCACGGGGTGAGAGGTTTGAAAGGGCACAGCAGGGGTTTAACGGCAGCAAGCGTGTAGCGATCTTTATATCCTTGGTCATATGAGAGAACAGCACTCTGCAGAGAAAAGAAAGCCCAAAAGTACAGTGGAAAAATACTTGAAGCTGAATGGGAATCAGAATATTGGTGAAAAAGAGCAAGCTGACCTTTCTGTCATTAAGTAGTTCTTGACAGGTCTGGATTAAGAAATGATATGGGAGATACAAATCTGAGCAGATTCCACTTTTCTCACAGACTGGGGCAGGAACGATGTGCGAACCCACACAAAATATGTCAACAACTCAAACACAGACGAAATCACCAGCGACGTGAAAGCGATTGGTCTATTTATAGCAGCATGCTCCATTAATGCAGCCACTGACTGCCAGCCAGGAGAAAGACGAGATAAAGACAAAGGAAGTGTTTACTTGGGCTGAGATTCCCCCTGTGAGAGAGTCAGACTTATATTTGTATAAGGCAAGAACCTCCAGCTTACATACTTTTTATCACAGGAAATTACACATATTCTAGTTGTCAAAAGGAATGTTGCAGATGATGACAAAGCATTTGATTTCAGTGTTGTGTGACATTATGGTGCATTATGGGAATTGTCGGAGCCAGTGTTTTGGGGGGGAAAGAAATTCAGGATATCGTGATCTCTAATGATTTGATTTTTGACACTTTAGTTAACTCCAGTGAGCTTCTTTCCAAATGTGTTTGCAAACAGTAGCAAAGTAATGTTTCTTTTCACTCATCACAGTCACATGTTTAATATTAGACAAACGAGTAAATGATGTTTTCAAACGCTATCCGAATCTGCCCGGCGCTGTGTGAAAAAGCAAGTGAGCATCTGTGTCTGTATGCATTCTCCAGCATCCTCAGAGGTTAAAATTCACCAGTCAGGCAAAATCCCGTCCCGGTTGTGGACATGCAGATCAGGTATAACACACCGTCCAAGGCCTCTGCTAAAATGCTGGAGCAGTGAAACCCAATCTGAGCAAACTGTGCAGCGTTGATGATCTCTGCCTTTACGCCAACATTAGGTCAGCTTTTGTTCTTATGCAAAGCTAAACGATGGAAACCTGAGAAAGGAGCCAGGAGTCTATTAATGAAACAGAGAGGATGACGATGTATGCAAAGATTTTGTCTTCGGTGATGTTTCTGTTTCAGCACAGGAATGACAGATGTAGTTCACGACACAATAACTATGGATTCCCTGTCGAAATGGAAGTAAAATGATAAAAAAGATGGCCGTTTGGCAGTGCTAGCAGCATTGATCTAGGACTGATTAAATTCTAATAACTTGGGCATCCCTTCACTTTTTAACCATCACAACCAACAGGTCAATGCTGAACGTTTAGAGACCGATTACTTGATGGATTAGCACAGAATTAAATTCATTTTTACGCACTAATGCCCAACACCATGGAGTTGGTGATGGGTTATAAATTGACTTCAGTTTTTTAAAGAAGTACATTGACCGGTTCCTGTGTCGCTGAATAGAATAGAATAGAATAGCCTTTATTGTCATTGTACAAAGTACAACGAAATTGGAGTGCCACTCCCTTGGTGCAAAATGCAATAATAAATATAAATGTAAAATATAAAAAGTACAATAAAACAACCGAAGTACTCAGACAATAATAAGTACGAAGTAAGTACGATATATACAGGATAGCAGCATAATATAATGATAGTATGAATAATGTAGTGACAATGGCAAGTATGGTATAGTATGACCCAGTGTTTTCGGTTCAGTCACGTTCAGTTTATTTCTCACTCGTTCACATTTCCTGTTTTGCTGTTCCAGTTGCTTCCATGTGTCATTAGTGAGATTAAGTTCAGCTGTTCACTCACTGGTCTCTAAACACCAATCACTCTGTGTATTTAAGTTCCTCGGTTTCATCGGTTCATTGTCTCGTCGTTGATGTTGTTGTTGCCGTCGTCTCTCCTGCGTGCGTGCTCTCAGCTCATTGTGTCATTATAATAAATTAAATAATGTTACATTGAAGTGTAATGAATGAATGATAATCAAATACTGTAATGTAGGTAAGTAATTTATTTATATAGCACATTTCAGGGAGAACAGTCACAGTGTTTTGCATTATAAAATAAGATTTTAAGCAATTAATCTTACGTATGAATCTGCGTAATATCTATATCATTCTTTGCCATTTCTCACCAGTGTATTTACTGTGTGTACTATTTCCATCATCTGCTATTTTGCAGACAAACTCTTTTTGTGAGCAGCGTCATGTTTTGCAGCTTCACAGCAGCTGGTGTGTGTTCATCAGCAGCCGTGTGCCAAGCAGAAACGTCTGAGTAACTTATTAGCCCGACAGCTTTCTCAGCCAGTCAGTCCAACACTTTCAGGAGGATAAACATCGTCTGTGCTTTGGAGCAGACGGTCCTCAGGTGATGCATATGTTTCGCCAAACATTGTACAGTGTTGCCAAATGTCAAAGAATACATTGCATTTTGCAGGTTT